TTTAAAAATGGCGGCGCCCCGCTTATGCAAATGAAGCCCGGGAAATTCAAATCCCGGGCTTCATTTGCAAGTGCGGTATGCCTACATTACCCTCCTAGTTCGAACTAGGAAGGTAGTGTAGACATACCCATAGTTAGTTATTTAGTAATGTCCTATATGTGCTGAATTAACACTGGTGTCACTCCCATTGGCTTTAACAGTGAGGAGTCCTTTGGCACCCTGGAGACTAACAGATTTATTGGGGCATTAATTCTTGCCCTAAGAAATCTATTAGTCTCTAAGGTGCCACGGGACTCTTAGTTGTTTTTGCAGCTACAGTCTAACATGGCTACCTCGCTGAGACTTTCCATTCGCTTTGGCGGAGCTCGTTTTTATTTCCATTTGATTAATTGAGAGCGAAATCTGGTCTGCTGTTTCCAGCTCACCCTGTTGCATACTCTAGTGTGACACTGAAATGGTTTGTATGAGACTAAGGAAATTGCTGGTATCAGTTTGGGGACTGAGCATGCACACTGAGTTTGCAAAACTGATAGAGTGCATTAAAAATCCATAGCTTGGATTCTAGGGTACTCTTGGCAGATTCTTGTTTCTAATTCTCACTTATTGACTTGTTCTCAGGCAATCTTATAAGATTAAAAATAAATGCATTAGAGTAGAGATCAAATAGCAACAAATTGCTGCCCATAAGCAAGTGAAATGTTAACAGCCGGAAGCCAGCGTGGTTAATAGTTTTAAAAAATGCTTAGAAACTAGTGTCTAAAGCTCCTTTTCCTGTGTCATTGGAGTGGCTTGTGCTAAACTCTCATCTCTGTCAAAGCATCAGGAGGGGCACATTGAGCTATCTAGGCGCATACAGTGAGAACATTGGCCCGATTCTCCTTCGACTTCAGCATATATTAAGATTGACTCCCCTGAACTTAATGGAGTTTCATGGGTGTAAATAAGAAGAGAAACAGGCTCATTACTTTTTTTTTTTTTTTTTTTTTTTTGGCCTGGGCTGGGAGACTCCTGAGCCATAAGGTTCTGGTCCACCCCCTTTTTCCATTCAGTCAACTAATTTTCAAGGATCAGTATTACAGTTACAGGTCCTTAGGTCTGAGGAGGGCTAGATCTGACTCTTGATCTGCTCCAGGAGCAAGAAACCACGCTGGAGTCCCAAATTTATGTTTCACTCATAGTAGCATATTTGCTTTAGAGCTAGGCCTCTGGCCCAGTCTGAAATCATTGCTAATATGAATATGCTCTTATTTTTTTCCATTTTTATTTTTATTTTTTGTTTTTGTTTTGTTTTTACTTTTGTTGCATCACATTTCCTCTAGCCAAGAGGACAGACAGAGGAGAATCTGGTGCCAATGCTGTGGCTCAATGAATACACAGTGGGTATAATAAAAATGATGAATTTGGCATTCCCCCTCCCTTTCTCCTTGCCCTCCATGATGCACTGTGATATGCCGGCTCTGCTGGCCTCTGGATCCAGTTCCTGTGATTTACAGATACCGGATGATATAGTATGCACACATGTGCAGCCCTGCAACAATTTGCAGCCCCAAATAATATAAAAACCAGCAAGCAATTACAGTAGTTGTTTTTATGAGAGCTGGGCATTCCCAGAATGCACCACAGGCACTCTCTCTTGAGCAAGTGAAAAGGTTTTCTATGCTCTGAAAAGTTACGAGCAGCCATCCATGGAGAAAAAGATTTAAAAGCTTGAGCAAGCTTCATGTTGCAATAATGATGTGATTCTTGCTTCTCGCAAATCACTGATCATATCTTAGACTAACATTCCTTCCTCTTCCTCTCATCACGCTGTCTGTAAATGCATATTCGGGAAAATAGCCTTTTCGTAATAACCACAGTTGGCGCAATAAGAAAACTATGGTATTAAATGATTTCCAGTCCAGTACAAAATCCTTGTAAAGGTCCTATATAATCAGCTCTGCCATGACTTATTAAAGGTATATTTTGTTCTCTCACTACAGTGTCACATTTTTGTTGTGGGATGGTTTCTTTTCAAATTTGTGTAAGAAATTTTTACAAAACGGGAGCTGGTATGGTCCACAGCACTGAAAAGTAAAAAGCCCTGCCTTCTAATCATGACTCTGCCACTTAATTGGTGTGTGGCCTAGGCAAAATCACTGAGGCTCTGTTTATATTACAGCTGGGTTATCCTGTAACCCAGTTACAATACAGTTACAATGTGTGGTGTGGACAAGATCTCTCTGTGTCCTGAAAGCTGCATTAAAGCCTTTGATAGTCCTCTACTAACCCTTATGGAAAAGCACTAAAGAATTTAATAGCGAAACTATTTAATTGCTAGAGAAACGACTCTAAAAACTACACATAGAACTTAAGAGTTAGATTGTTTTAGTCTCTTTTTTTTTTTAGAACTTTTCAATCACATTAATATAGTTTTCTATTATGTTCTATAGCAGGAGTGGGCAATAATTTTTGCCCGGGGCCACTTCAAAATTTTTTGAAGTAGCCCGGGGCCTCCCCAGAATGGGCGGGGCCTAAACAGGAAGGGGTGTGGCTACCCCACCCCCAGACTATGATTGGTTTGGCAGTGGGGGAGCCCCTTTTTCCCCCCTTCCCACTAGGCACCCATGCCCTGGAAGAGGTTTGGCATGCTCCCCCATCCTCAGGCCAATCAAGGTTGGGAGCGGGGGAGCACCCGAAGTCTCCTCCTCCCCCTGCGAGGAGCACATGGCACTCTGAAGTGTCACGGGATACTCTCAGGGCTGGGGCAGGGTGAAGGAAGCTTCACGCAGCTCGCCCGCCTCCACGCTCTGATTGGCACAAAGCCTCCTCCTTCCAAGTGCTGTGTGCTGCTCGCAGAGCAGGAGGAGGCTTCGCATGCTCCCCGCCTCCCCCAGCCAATTAAGGCCTGGGGGCAGGGGAGCGCCCAAAGCCTTCTCCCCTCTGCCCCAGGGTAGGAGGAGGCTTTGTGTGCTCCCCCTGTTTCCCCCCCATCTCCAGCCAATTAAGGCCTGGGAGCGGGAGCGCAGAGGAGGTTTTGCGCGCTCCCTCCCCCCACCAGCCAATTAAGGCCTGGGGTTGGGGAGCATCCAAAGCCTTCTTCGCTCTGCCCCAGGGCGGGAGGAGGCTTCACGTGCTCCCCCACTCCCAGGCCCTAATTGGCTTGGGGGCGGGGGAACAGCAGGGCCTCCACAGGCTGGATCCACGAGCTTGGTGGGCTGGATCCGGCCCACAGAGGCCCTTTTGCCCACCCCTGTTCTATAGGATGGTCCAAAAAACTATGGGTTAGATTCTCTACTCTGCTTTGATGGTTCAAAGTAGCTGGATTCTGGCCATACAATTTCTTGAATTCTCCTTCTGGCTTAAACCGAGGGAGCAGACTTTTCGGCCACCTGTGTCCCCCACCCATTCCACCCCCACTGCCCACATAAGGGTGTTGGGAGACAGAGGGAGCAAACCTCAGCTACTCTAGCTATTGTGACAGTCAGCAGATACAGGATCAAGGGATTTCAGTTGGCTCCCTTAATTTTCCTTCAGCATAGGCTCACATCAAGGAAACCCCGAAGAAAACTTATCTTACTTTATTAAATTCTATAGAGGTTTTCCATAAGGGAAGATGCTATTTGGGATTAATCCTAGACATTAGTCAGGGTACTCGGGTGCAACAGAGTCTCAACTATGGTACAGATTTTAACTATTGTAACCAGATCAGGTTAATTAAATTATTACCAAGTCCCCTGGTACAGATATATTTGTTGTGTAGACAACCACATTAACATGTAATAACATGGGAGAAATAATATTTTATTTATTTCATGGGGTGCTGCAAAGATTAATTAATTAGAATTTATATAGCCTTTGAAGTTGTAAAGTGTTTATGGAAGTGCTAAGCTCTGTTATTTCGAAAGGCACGTTTTGTTTTTGTATTGGTGATCAAGGAATAACCAGCACAATTTTCATTTGGCTCCTTTCTCCTCTTGGGTTGACAGCTGTTTGAAGGAATGAAGGCTTATCGAGGAGTGGATGATAAAATCCGCCTGTTCCGCCCAATGCTCAACATGGACAGGATGCTGCGGTCAGCGGTGCGAGCAACACTGCCAGTATGTAACTGAAGCCCATCCTTCCATTGGGTTAGGAAAGCATTTTTATTTATAGGGTGTGCAGTTGCTGTGAACCCTCACTGACGAGAAAGAAAATACAGTACTTCAGTTTAACTCTTATTAGGAGGCTTGTCATGGTGAAAGGGTCCTTGTAAGGAGTGGTGAAATGAACTCTTCAGATAGACCAGTGTTTGTCAGACTGGGGGTCCTGACCCAAAAGAGGGTCACAAGGAAGGGAGGAATGACAGTATAGCCACCCGTACTTCTGTGTCACCTCCAGAGCTGGGCAGTAGGCCAGCAGCAGCACAGAAGGGTAGCATGGTAAGAGAGAAGGTTATCACAGCCTGAAATATTTTCAAAGGGAGGCCCAGCCAAAAAATTTTTGAGAACCCCCATACTAGATCAATGGCACAAAGACAGAGGTTCAGTGTTTCCATCTGCCCTTCCCCACTGATGGAAATTAAAGTTTGGGGCATTAATCAGTCTTTTAAAAGCTGAAGGCATATAATACACACATCCTTGTCAACATGTATATACAGACACTGGGCCAGATTGTACCCTCTCTTACAGTTCTGCAAATCTGTGGGCCTGCACAAGTTGAATTTAACCCAGTATTCCCAGTGGCTAGGTCTCCAATGTCAGAGTTTTATTTTTGACTCTGCTGCTGAATTGCTTTGTGAAGACCTGTAGTCTCTTGTTACCAAGTTTTTCACCATTCTGATGAGATTTAGCAGAGCAAAATATGTGCTTCTAATAGTCGCACCCTGGCCTGAGTGTTCTGTGCCATCCTTGTTAGTGTGTGTAGAAATTCTTGGGTGAAACATTCATAATTTTCTACAATGCTTTGGAAATTCTCTGGAACCTTAAGGCTCAATGCAGGGAAAATTCAGTGGGTTTAGTAGTCTATGTTATACAAGAAGGTCAGACTAGGTGATCTGGTGATCCCTTCTGGCTTTCAACTGTGACTGAAAAATTAGGGCGTTGCCAAAGCGCTCACTGAGTTTTTTCCAGTGATCTTTGTAAAACTGAATTGAAAGTGGGTAATCCCACTGTTTCTTTATGTGTGTTTGTGAAATATATTTCACAATAACAACAAGAAACTTAAGACAGTTCAGTTCTTGGCAGCTAAAATCTCACGGCCTTTTCCATTGGTTGTTTTTAGAACTATATGGACTGTTAGGCTGTGTCTACACTGCACCCCTTTTCCGGAAAAGGGATGCAGATTAGACACTTTGGAATAGCAAAATCCGCGGGAGATTTAAATATCCTACTTGAAAGTAGGAATAAAAGATCTCCGGAAAAGGGGAGAAACACGTCTAGACTGCTGCTTTTCTCCGGCTTATCCCCAAGCCGGAAAAAAGCGGCAGCCATGTTAATGCAAATACCGCGGGGGATATTTAAATCCCCCGCAGATTTTGCTATTCCAAAGTGTTTAATCTGCATCCCTTTTCCGGAAAAGGGGTGCAGTGTAGACACAGCCTTAGAGCCTTCTCTGTCATGATTAAAAGTTCCCATTAGAATATGTTTCCATAAAATTATCTTTCTTTCTTTCTTTCTTTCTTTCTTTCTTTCTTTCTTTCTTTCTTTCTTTCTTTCTTTCTTTCTTTCTTTCTTTCTTTCTTTCTTTCTTTCAGTGTTTTGACAAGGAGGAGCTATTAGAGTGCATTCGGAAGCTTGTAGAAGTGGAAAAGGACTGGGTCCCACACTCTACGTCTGCAAGCCTGTACATCCGCCCTACTTTAATTGGAACAGAGGTATGGAAAAACTTTTTTTCTCCTGAGTTTTTTATATACATTTTCATTGCCTTGTTCCTATCTTAACCCCTGGAAATCCGTACAGTGTAATAAGTCATGGCAAGGAGATTAAAATATTCAATTCTCTTTCTACAATACAAATCAAATGGCATCTATTCTTTTTTCTTCCTAAATTTGTTAACATCAAATAAGAAATCATGAAAGGTACTGGGCTGGCTTAGACAGAAGTCCTTTATTTTTACATAGAACATATGTAATATGGACAGAATCCATCCAAGTTTCTGTGTTTCACCCACATCCTGGAGTGAGGAGCTCTGGGTATGTCTACACTACAAAGTTCATTCGAACTAACAGACGTTAGTTTGAATTAACTTTGATAGGCGCTACACATACAAACCTCTAGTTCGAACTTAATTCGAATTAGCGGAGCGCTTAATTTGAACTAGATAAACCTCATTCTACAAGGACTAACGCCTAGTTCGAATTAAGTAGTTCAAATTAAGGGCTGTATAGCCACTTAATTCGAACTAGTGGGAGGCTAGCCCTCCCCAGCTTGCCCTGGTGGCCACTTTGGGCACCACCAGGGAAACTCTTCTGCCCCCCTCCCGGCCCCAGAGCCCTTAAAGGGGCATGGTCTGGCTACGGTGCCCGTGCCAGGTGCAAGCCTGCCAGCACCCAGCCAGCAGACCCTGCACCTGGCACGGCATGAACCAGCCACCCGCTCCCACCCAGCCCTCTGCCTCTTCCCGGGACCAGGCTGGCGGCTCCCAGGAGCCTGCCCGGGACCGCAAGAGGCGGGCGCCCACCTGGTCTAGTACAGACATCGTAGACCTTGTCCACAACCTCCGCACTAGGCACAG